ATAAGCATATGAACCCAGGTCCCATAAAGATAGCGCCAAGGACACTCAATTAAATGACCATAGGGCACTTACATCACATTGGCAAACTTGGGTTTCCACACTTAAATGACAAAAAACTGTGCTTGAGAACATTTTGTCATAACTAATGTAGCCTAAAAAATCCCCATACTGCAGTCCCACTCAAGCTTTGGTCACAGCAAACAAGCATTCACGCAATGAGACATAGTAAATCGTAGTCACAATGCATAGTATAATAGGGCTTCAAACCTATAAATTGGCATGTTAGCACAATGGCCCATGCTGCGATGACATGCTGCTAAAGCACTGCGGCATAGCAAAACATAAGTCTACAATGCTTATACAAGTGCCACAACACTGTAATACTACAACACATAAAAAACCTACAATGATACACTGATGCATCAATACCCCAAACAAATGCCTAAGGCATGAGAGGTAGGGGTGTACCAATAAGACATATTGAATTTGGACGGACCAATATGACATATTGGATTGGACCTGGTCCATCCATAATGAATTTATATTGGATTGAGCCAATATCTGATCCATTGGTAGAACATAAGAACATAATTGTCAATGGACCAGGTTTGAGTTCAAGCCAGTCTAAATTAACAGGAATTTGAACACATTGAACAGTCTCTGGACCAGTCCAAAATATTCATTGGACTGGATTGGACCAAGTCCATTTGTAATGGACTCACACTGGACGAGATCGGATTGGACCAAATCTAGTCCAATTGACACCCCTAATGAGAGGTTTCCAGATAAGGCTGCAACTTGGGTCGGGTTGGCCCGAACCCAACCCTAACCCAATTGGATTGGGTTGATATTCAGGTTAGGGTTGAAATTCATGAACCTAATTTTACTTCGGGTTGGGTTAGGGTTGACCCCTTAGCCAATCCAACCCAACCCGAACCCGACTCTATAGTACATGTAATATATAAATATATGTTATATGTAAAATATAATATACATTGATTTGCTTAATCTTAATCATAAAGACTAAAACCTTAATAATATTATTTTATGTTTTTTGTAAATTTTGTTCTTCATCTCCTCTATGTTGTTTGTCGCCCAAGAAAAATTTATCGTAAGTCATAATTCATAATAAACTATAGTCATTTTTTACACTTGTTTTTTTGAATTTTGTACTAAAAGAACAAAAAAAAAAACGTTAACAAACAAATACTAATGAAATATAGGATTAATATATATAGTGAAAGTTGAGTTAAGATCTAAAATCGAGAAATTCTATGAGGTTTTAAGGAATGGGAAGAAGGTTGGGTTGGATTAGGGTTGAAGGAATTTAGTTAAGGTTAGGATTGGGGTTTAGAACTTAGGATTGGGGTAGGGTTGGCCTCAACCTGACCTGACTTGCAGCCCTATTTCCAGAAATAGTGTTGTAGTTGAGCTTGTTCTACATGCAGGCCGGGAGGATAAGGGCAGGAAGCTAGATCTCGAGATCTCTACAGTGACACGTGGTACAATCCTACTTGTAACATTTCTGTCCCATATCTTATCAAATCACACACTTTTTTCGCTTTGGGGAAAGTTTTCTTTTTATGTTATGTGATTTTTTATTTGGCTGATAAATAAAGAAGTCTCAAAGCTCCCTTGGGAGAGACATGACCTTCTTGTTGTGTAGCTTGGCTAGACCGACTCTTCCCCCTCGTTCTCTTTATCCCCCCTTCTATTTTCTCTCTGATCGACAAGCACAACCATTTATAGACTTTTGGGGGCTTGCCCATTGCAACCATGGAGTCCACAAGGTCAACACCTCTTTTGAGAGTATATTGAAGAATCCACATGTGTCTTTTGATTTGATTGTTTTTAAGTGGTATATTGGTACGTTCTTGATAGGGAAACCCAAGTCTTGTCCCAAGTTTTGCTAATACAATGTAAGAAACATTAAACCTTCCCTTAGGCTACTTATTGTAATTCACACTATTGAGATGGGTGCTTGACTACTTGGGTTGCTAAAATAAATAAGAGGGGAAATTGTTGTGCTTGTAGTGAACTAGGTTTTCTTATGAGTGCTAGTGTTGGTACCTTGTATTTATAAGTTAAGATTCTTCTCCCTTTTATTGCTTATTTTGTCTTTTAGATGGTTTGTTGTTAAGCTTATTTTCTCTCTACCTATCTCTCTCTCTCTATTCTTTTTTCCTTTCCCCTTCCTATTCTCCTCCTAGATGTCATGTAAACACCTCTCTTTTCTATTTCTTATCTTATATTTTAATTGGCTTGTCAATGATGTGATATCATTGAATCACCCCTCTTAAAACATCTTCACTTCCTAAAATCTTTCATAAACTTTTTTTCCTACCTAATCCTTTTCCCTCTAACATCTCCTAAATACACTTCACATTCCTAATAAATTATATAACCTCTCTCTCTCTCTCTCTCCACATCAATCCATTCTTTCTCTCCCTTCCCCTTTCTCTTATATTAATTATTTTTAAATAAATGTAATGTATCCAAAACTAATTATCATATTAGGTTGGCATAGTTTACTTATCATAATTCAATTAAGTAAATTGGTTCAACATAATTCAATTAGGTAAATTAGTCAATTTATTAAATTTAGTTTAATTGACCTAACATGATAAATCTAATTTAATCAATATTAACTTAGTCAAATTAAATTAACTAACAAAACCAAACTAACTTAATAAATATAACACAACTTATTTTAGTTAATTATGATGCCCATTGGGTATCTATCCTCCTCGACTTGATTGGGATCATGGATGGGGACTGTTCTTGCAGAGACTATGATGAGGACAAGGAATAACTGTAATACCGGATGGAGGACAGAGACCAGGATGGGAAGTGAATCAGTTTGTTTAATTACAATAATGCCACTATGTATTGCACAAATTTCTATTTCATCTTGGTGATTAATGATGATAAATGCTAAACAATTAAGTTACTGGAGTTTTCTTTATTTTAAGTAAATACTTTTTTTTTCCGAAAGCAAGCTTTTAAATTCAAAAAGAAAAAGAATTTATGAATTCGGGTCCTTAATGGGGAACCTATCTCCATTGGGGATGGATGTTCATTTTTCTCCTCGACAGGGATCACATATGGGGATGGGGATTTATTTTGAAACTGGGGGCGAGGATGGGGATTGTACATATATTTAAATCCACTTAAAATAAATGAAAAAGAACAAAATATAATAGAAATTAGTAAAATTGAAACAAATTTATCTAACAATAATTAATAAATATTTAAACCCATTTAAATTCAAYTTTGAATAATAAAAATTACCAACAATTTATTTAATTATAATAAAAATGATTAAACATTAATAAAAAACTAATACAAGGGTCCTTCAACTTGGGTTGTAATCACTTTGGTTTAGCCCAATTGAAAATGTCACAAGGGTCCTTCAACTTGGATTTTGGTTAAGAAAGCCCATGCAATTGCATGGGGTCTCCACTAGGTTACTTTAATTAATGTAGCTTAATTAGTTATGCTAATGTAATTTATATTGAAGAGAAAAAAACACTTAGATTAATTGTACTTATATGTAGTGGTGGATTCGAGCTCACTTGAGCCGAWTACATGGCTATTTGATTTTGAGCTAATCTCACCAAAGCAATGTTATATTCAAGTTAGAGACTTAAGGTCGATTTTGGCTCGACTCAAAAACTTGCAAGTTTGAGCTCTGCTCAACTCGAACTTGATTATGAGACAACTTCCAATAAAAAATAAAAATTAAACATATAAAGATTATTTATTATCATACATACGAAAAATTAAAATATTATATATATAAATATGTATGTATGTATGTATATAATAAAAAATATTATATATATAGATATATATTAAACTCAATTAGCTAGGTTCGTGAGCCTCATGAGCCGAGCTTTAATGGACTCGAACTTGGCTCGAATCTCGATTTAAATCAAGTCGAATTGAGCTTTTCATGAGTCAAGATTGAATAGCTCATRAAAAGCTCAATTTGTTTACACCCCTACTTATATGTGGTTAAGGTAATTTATATATTAATTTAGATYAATTGTTAATAAACATAAATATTTCTGCATCACACTACCTTGCTAGTKTACAAATATATCCTGACATGGTTTCTTAAATCAACTAATTACTAATAGAGAACTAATTACATGACAAAAGTGGCCCATAGAAAAAAGTAATCATTGTCTATTTTGCTTAGTTTAATAACCTATACACTATTAGAGAGAGAGAGAATGGGAATAGCAATACAGCATAATAAAATAAAATATTAATAAATCAAATAATATAAATAGGTTGAGGTTAAACAATTAAACATAAAATAACAAAAATAAAAATATTATTTAAAAATCATTAATTAAAAATGCACTAAACTTCACTTAAAACCAATAAATATTAACGAAACTTATTAACAATTAAAAAATGCACTAAACCTTAAGTTTGGGCTTAGATCAATTTAATTATGAATAAAAAAGTTAACTATAGATTATTTTAATTATGACTATAGCCTAATTTTATATATTTAATGATATTTAAGTATTTTAAATATTTAAGTGATATTTACAAAAAATTGAAACATTTAATCATTGAGAAAGTAAAATAAATAAAATAGAACACAAACAAATAATATGGAAAAAATAATTATTTTATTAAGTAATTAACAATAATTTATTATTTTCATTGAAAAATATTGATATAATTAATTCAAATTACTAAATTATTAACTTAGTAAAATATTTTTATAATAAATTTATTAAAATAAAGATTTAATTATTTAAAACGTCACGGGCCCCCGCAGGCCCGCTGGTCTATATAGTATATACAAAATACGGGTTGGTCAATATCGAGATTCCGAGATTAGCCTGAGAACATTGCTAGCTTTACGGCTTGATAACCGTACTTAACACGGTTGCCTTAGACACCATGGATCTCGTTCCTCGATGTGACGTGTCCGTGCACAAGTGGGGGATTGGAAATAGCATCTCACACGGGGAAGAAAAAATGAAAACATGTCGGGGCGTGGTTGCAGAGAAGATAAAACGCGCCCACTTATCAGACTTGGCATTTTAGGGTCTCACTTGTCCGCCCTTTCATCCATGGCTTCTGAGAAAGAAGCTGCCCTTGCGGCTGTTCCTTCTGATTCTCCAACCATGTAAGCGATCGTCATATTAGAYGTTACTCTTTCTGTTTGTTCTGTTTCTTTATTGTTCTCTTTTATCTTGATGTGCCAGTGACTCGTCACTTCCTTTTACTGCAATCTGTAATTGATATTATATTATCTATAACTTGGATTACTGCCAATCTCACAGTATAAGCTTTTCTTTGCAGAGCCCATTTTGCTTTATAATGTGATACATTTCTCTTGTGATTTAATTTAGCAGAATTTATCAGACTTGGTTCCTCCCCCCATTTTTTCTTTTCGTTGAAAAGGTCTTCCTTCCCACTTTTTCTCTGGATTTAACTCACCTCATCGCATATTTTGCAAGTTGATGTGCATGGTAATTCTTCTCACTCCTTACATGCAGAAACACTACACAGCTCTCGTTATTTCTAGTCTCGACTTAATGGAACTATCTGCTAATGGGTTAGTAGGTTGAAAGTGTGGTGACTGTGGTCCGGTCATGTTTGTAGATCTCATAACCTTTTGCTTTGGAAATGGCCTTTAAGGCCCAAGAGAGAAGTGGTTGTGTTTGATTGAATTTTGTCAAGGAGATACTGAATGATCCTTGAGAAGTGTGTTATTTTTTTTTTCTTTCGTTTTTTTTTGAAGTGATTGGATGGTGCAAGATAAATTTGGGGTCTCAGAACTGGTTTGCAAAATGCAGTTTTGACTTTTGAAGTATCTAAAAGCGTAGGTTTAGGATGTAAGTTTATTGTGTGAATTTCATTTGGAGAAATGGTGAAGATGTAGAGACGATAAGGTTTAGATTACATAACAAAAAATTGGGTGTTGATATTGGGTAGTGTCTCTTTAGTTTGTTCTATTATCTCTAATGTATTTCCTTTGTGTTGGTTCCGGCTCTCTGGGGTCTTGGGAGGGACGTTCTGTATACATAGTTACATACCTAACCTTTTGCATTTTATTGGCACAAAGTGGTCACTCAGATTTGAACCCCCATCTTCATGCTTGCCAGCCTCAGATTTTACCTTTATACCCAGTAATGCCCCCTCCTGCCACTCGTTTGGGCCTATTAAAATCCTTTAGCATAACATTCTTACTCATAAGATGTGAATTAATATCTTCACAAATCCTTTGAACTGATTTGGCTAAAATTTTCCCATTTCCTTTCTCCTTCCTAACTCCCTAGAGCAAATATTACTGTATTCCATTGGGCATGTTCACAAGGCCTAAAATTAACTTTTGGAAAAGCCTTCAAAAGCTTGTATATTTGATGGATGACATTGTGTAAGGACCCTGAAGAAAAAATTAGATGGAATGATAAGATTTAACCCATGATATAATTAAAAACACATGTACCAAATGCAATGAAGGAATAGCATTAGCAAGGGCATTTAAAGCAACCTTTCACTGGGTCCATGGATAAGCAAGTTGTGTGGTTGATGCAATGACCTATGACCAAACAATGAGGTCCCATTCTTCTAGATAAAGTGGGTTATTTAAGTGTAATTGTCAGAATCTTGTGATTTGGTGCCGATAAAAAACATAAAAAAAAATCATATGATTTGCGATATGGTTCACAGTTTGAATAATGAATCCCAAGGGTTTCAATTTCAATTTTTTTTTATGAATAACATAAATTTTATTAAGAATTAAAAAAGAGTTACACCAAGGGTAGCCTCGGTTACCCCTGGAAATTAAATATAAAAAACCACCCATTTTACTTTTGCAATTACAACTAAGCCTAGAAACAGGTTTCCCTGTGCACCCTTTGTTTTGCTATTTGATCTGCTTGTTAGCTGATCTTGGGATCCATTGAAAATCCACTTGCATACCATCTGCAAACCTTTTAACTTCCTTGATCTCTTCTTTGAAGAACCACGGAGCTTGTTCTTTTTGTACACCCCTCCTATACTAGAAGGCCCCGGTTACCAAGACTACTTCCATCAAAATTCATTTTAATAACCCATATTCCCGGGGAAGCCAATCCCTTATAGTTTTCTTCTTGGAAGAAGGTAGTGCTGCAATTGTTCTCTATATCCTTATCAGATCATCATATGTAAAATCAAATAATAGTTTCAAAGATTTAACTCGAAGGACCACATTGGCTGTAACTCCATCTATCAATGTTCCTCCGCTCATTTTTCTTCCTTCAAATATCCTTACATTTCTTTCCTTCCATAGAGACCAAAGCATGGCTGCACTTGTGCATCTCCACAGTATCCTGCCTAGAGGTGTAAAACGGGCCGTGCTGGGCCGGCATGGCACGACTCGCGTGTGGCTAGCGCAAAGTGCTGGCCGGGCCGTGCTTCCCTCCCATGGGATATTTTGGGGGGTCGGCCTGGCACGGTCCACGGCCTGAGCCCGCGCGGGCCACAAGCTGGGCTGTCTCATGGGCCGAGCCTTAGGCCAGGCCAGGTAGTGGACCGGGCCAAAGCTATTTATTTAAAAAAATGAAAAAAAATCTTAAAATTTTTATTTTATATGAATTTTGATGTATACAATTGTTTATATATACAATAATTAAATAAAATAGTATAATAAAATTGAAAACAATTGTTTATTTTATTAATATATCATATACTATATATTATTATATAATTATAATTTATATAATATATTATATATAAATATATATTATATATAATATATATATATATATATTATGTTTAGCATAAGGACAATAAATAAGCAAATGATATGCAGTCTCACCATTTGACTCACATAGATAACACCGGTTCGGGGAGAGACACCATCTGGGTCTCTTTCTCTGTAACAAATCACACGTGTTAATTGCACTGTGAAAGACTTCCCAGTTGAAAGCACTCACTTTAGGAGGAATAGGGCGGCACCACACTTCTTTAAACGGTAATGGAGAGCCAGTAAAATTAGAGGATGACAAAGATTTAAAGAAGGAAGCACAGCTGAATACACCTGAAGGGTGAGAGGTCTAGACTGTACTAACTTGTTTACTCACATCTAAAAGGATCCCATCCAACATTTGCAAAAGGTTTCACACCATATTCAACTGAGAATCCCTAACATTTTTGTGGAATCCCAAATTCCAACCGTACCCATAGAGTAAAGGAGAAGGGATTAAAAATTCAGAGATTGGTTTACCCTTGAAAGAAGAGAGAGTATACAAAGAAGGGAAAGAGACCCTCTCCCAATTCCCATAGAATATTCCTCATTATCTTTTCTAATTTTTTAGCAATAACCACATGCATGCTAAAAACCGAGTGGTAATAAATAGGGAGGTTTGCTAAAGTAGACTTGATTAGTGTGATCCTCCCTTCCAAAGAGATGTAACTCCTTTTCTATCCTGATAGCTTCCTTTCAAATCTCTCCACTAATGGGGCCCAAAAGTCATGGGATCTAGGGTTTTTACCTAGTGGAAGTCCTAAATATTTCAAATGCTAATTACTTGTTAAACATCCTGGTTCCCTTGCCCACATCTCAATCACTTCTTGCTCTAGTTAACTCCAGCCACTACACTTTTGTTGAGATTGATCTTCAAATTTGCCACTCGCTCAAACAAATTAACTAACATCCTTAAGTTACTAGTTCCTTCATCTCCCTTATTCTCACAAAAGATTATTATATCATTTGAAAAATGTAGGTGTGTTACCACTACCCTATCCTTCCTACTCTCCATCCTTTTACTAGACCCATTTCATCTGCTTTCAAAATCAATCTACCAAACACCTCCGCTATTATAGTAAAGAAAAAAGGAGATAACGAGTCACCTTGTCTAACTCCTCTTAAGGCTCCAAAAAAACCTTTGACCACTCCATTCACTAACACTGAGAAATGACAAGTCTGTAAACACCCCTTCACCCACTTACACAGTTACACCATCTTTCACTGAACCCACATCTCCTCAAGACTTCAATAAAAAATCCCCAATCTACCTATCATAAGCTTAATGTAGCTTGCATACAATGCCCTTTCCACCTTGATTTTATTTAAGACCTTATGAAAACCATACTGATTTTATTTTCCATCATCTGCAAGTCAAACTATATCATCTTAGGATTTTAGTGTATAAGTAGTAAACTTTATTGATTTAGGTACATATATAGTAGATATGGATTAAAAATAGAGTAAATTCATTTTTCTATATATATATATATTGATTTTAGTGTTTCAATTTTTAGTTTTTTTTCACAAGTTTGTAAAAAACAACAATAATCTTATAATTTACCATACGATTTTTTATTTGATCCAATTCAACTTTCTCTATTGTTTATTATACATTTAGAATTTCAGAACATTTACCTAATGTAGTGTCTTAAATAAAAAAAAAAAACTGAACCTAAATGTTTCAAAACTTACCTTTTGGATGGTGGGTCTCAAATAAGATACCTACATATAAGTTTCCCCTTACTGATTATGGGATCATTAACTAGTCATTGATTAAAAGAGATATCCATTTGTGCTGGTCTGTTGCAACATGTATGGTGGAAACACATCAATTTCCATTTTCTTTGGGTGTGGGGACAGAGTAGAATTTTTTCATACCTGGCCATGACATGGTCATTGTTGCTCTGCTATTGGTGGAAACATAGGTGTGGTATGCAACATACCACCTTTGGTTTGCCACCCCGGTAAGTTCTAAGTTGGGTATGGTATGGACGGGGTTGCTCTGACCCACTTACTTAGGTTACTACCATCAACCCTAACCTGTCCCATCCCGATAAATTTTGAAGGTTTGAAATACCAAATCTATTCTGTGTGAAAATCATGAAACTGATACCATGCTAGATTCTGTATTGTCTACTAACCATAATAATAGAAGGGTCTTTGTTTGTGAGAGATAGACAAGGAAGAAATACAAGAGATGGAGAGATCACAAAAGTAAGACATTAATAGCAAGTAAGATATTGCCATATTGGGAAGAGGGAGGTCTAGATCTAGGGAGTTGGAGAGGAAAGTTATCATTGTAGAGAGAGATTTGGGATGAAAGCTTCAGTGCAGAAGTTAGAGAAATCTACAAGGGGAGAGAGGATGGAAATTAGAGATAGGGGGATTGGTGGGTGGTACTTGAGATATCCAATTGTAGTGTCACCTCCAATTAGAGGGCCACTTGTCATCTCGAGTGGAATGAATGATGGGGTAAGTGAGGTGGAAGGGAGATAGTCTAGTCCCTAACTTCCTCTTTGACTTTTGCACTAACAAGTAACAAATAGGGTTAGGTCTACATTCATACAATTGAGATAACCCTTAAATTAGAGCTATTCCTTTTACCATTTCATGAAGCTAAGGATCTGATGGATGGGTTGCGTAAAATGTGACCCAGAACCGGAGTGGAGTTGTAATTTTAATTGGAGTTATGGTAGCTTAGCATGGTTTGAATAAGGAGTTTCTGTATTCAGGGGCGTTTAGAATTTAGTTGTTGGTTTGGTTTGGTTTTGGGGTTGGGTTGTGTGCGGTGGAGGGTTGATTTCTTCTTTTCTCAGGTGACTACTAGTTTTCTTGTATTTTTTTTTATTTTAATAAATTTTTATTTACTTTAAAAAAAAAGACCTAGAATTGAAATCAAGATGGGTCAAATCATTTAAAACTCAACATGACTAGACCCCATTAATGGCAATGTGAAATCTGTTCCAATAGGGGGGGCAGGGTAAGTCACCCATTAAATCCACCCTATAGCCATCCCTAATGCCAAATAATTAGTTATTTAGGAATATTTTAGATTTTAATTTTATGATTAAGTTCTAAGGCCCTTTATTTATGTTTTGTTAAAGTACAATATCTCTTCTTCCTCTTGCATCTATGAATGTATGCATCTTATCTAATTTTTCGCATCAGATCTTAACCCCTGTATCTACAAAGCAACCCTTAATCTCTGCTCTTTAGTCCACAGTTTTAATTTTTAGGATATTTTATCTTGTCTTTCTCTTTAGCCCACACTGGTAGAATAAATCTATAATTTGTTGCCAAGTCTCTTGGTCTTTCTTCCTTGATCAGAGAACATGAATTTTAAAGGGCAAATTTCTTAAACTACCCCTACTGTTTAGCTAATTGACAAACTGTACCCTTATTGTTTATATATTGTCTTAAGAGTACCACTAAGTTTTTTGACAATTGACTAGCTCTACCCCTACTGTTGGCATCTACTAATGTGCCATCAAAATCTGTGCACATGTAACCCCACATGACCTATAAAAGTTTTTCAAAACCCAATATTGCCCTTTTCTTCATACCTTAGAAGGTTACGAAAATGAACTACTTCCGATTAACTGAACTTCTGCCTCACATACACCTTTCCACCATCTAGGAATAGGGCTGAGGTTAAATGGGAGAAACTCTGCCTCTTAGCATCCTTTGGCTTAGTGACCAAGAAGTAGCTGGTGATGAGATTCCAACAGTAGATTCACTACTTTGTGAACTTGGGGTTGGAGGCCAACAGGGGTATGTCGCCGTTTGCTGTGCCAATGGTGATGTCAATTCCGGTGTCAGCTAGGGCTTTGATGTTAGCTGGGTCAATGCTGTTTCCGATCGAGGTGGACTGGAGCAATTTTGTCGTCGCCGTAGGTGGGGGAAGGTTGTCGGCAACTGAAGAGCAGGTTCGGGGTGTCCCTGCCTCGTGGTCTTCTACAACCTGGACCTCGTGGTCTTCTTCCAACAGTTCGAGGACGATGAGGTCGACGAATGTCATGTCCTTGTTCCATAACAGGTTTGAAAGGCTTTAGTTCGGTGTAGCCAGAGCAATTATGGTTGTAAACACCTGGTTTCCTTGGGCCTTTGCTGAAAGCTCTGGTCCTCGCCATTGCCGACCCACCCTTCGACTTGATAGAATAGAGACCGTGAAATGGACATTTCATGGAAACCGACATTCAACACAAGCATGGAATGAGTCAAGAATCAATCTAAAAGTATATTGCTCTATACGATATGCACTAGTCTGTCTAGGCTTCTTTTAGAAGACTAAACTACAACTGATGCTTATGGAGTGTGGAGAGGTAGGGCTCCGCCTTCCTTAGATCCTATCCTAATGTGATATGGTAGGCCACAGTTTGAGTTGTCAACACTAGGATAAAAGGCAATAATCCCTACGCCTGAAGCGGTGGAAGGCTTTCTTCGAAACATTATCTGTACGGGGCCCACTCTAGTATAGCTCAAGAGGATGGGGCATGAAGCGGGCAGTCAATCACGGATGCTCAACCATGGCCAACAGCTAGCGGTGATATGATAGCCGCCAGCATCAAGAGAACTACATCCGGCTTGTATTCAATTTTTTAGGGAAAAACTTCGGGCAACGAGGCACTTCCTACTCGTTGAAAGTGAATGGTCAATAAGTCGTCTCGGATTAGACATAGCAACCAAAGACTGATGAAGTATTGTGAAAATGTGAAAGAAAATAATGGGTAAAATAGTCCTTTTTGTCCTTCTATTAACGGTGTTAATGGCAAGGAGGTTTTAGACAATTGTCAGAAAACTTAGGGGGTACTCGAAGACAATATGTAAACAGTAAGGGTAGAGTTAGTCAATTCAGATAAACCATAGGGGTACTTAAAGAAATTTGCCCAATTTTAAAAGATTGAGCTGCTAGTTTGAATGTTATGGTGATATATTCACATGATAATTATCATTTCTTATAATGGTCAAAACAATATTTATTGTTTCTTTCTGTTGTGCAGATTCGACAAAATTATAAACAAAGAAATCCCTTCTACTGTTGTTTATGAGGATGATAAGGTAATAGTTTACTTTTGGTTGAGGTACTTTGTGTTTTCAAAGGCAATTAAGTGTAAGTAACAGGTTCTGTTTGATATAGCCAAGCTCCTGTAACATGATGCTTATAAAGAGTGTTGGATTGACTCTCCCAAGTGGATGGAATATCTGTGTCAGACATGCATTACATTTTGGCACTCCATGGATTCTTGAGAGACTTCTGTGAAATTTTTCTTAATCTACTTGCTTGTTTGACTTGGATGAACATCTAATGTACACTTGTACAGAATGAAAATAAACCTCTAGACATTTCTTATGGGTATATAGTGTTAGAAATAAAAAAGTTATGGACTATCTTAGTAATTTGTACTTTTTTATTGATATGTTTGCAAGTCTTTGTTTTTTCATCTTGCCAAGTCAGATCCTCAGAAATGCTTTGGGTTCTGATCCCTGTGTGTGTCCATGAAACACTGCGTATAAAGTTAGGCATCTCAAACTAAAAAAAAAGAAGAATTGAATGGTGGGATAAGATTAATTGACTATTTTAACGTAGCCATGTCAACGGATTGACTTGTGCTTATAAAGTTATGTATCTCATCCATACAGCCATGTGATGAAAGAGTAAAAACCAAGAAAGGTGTCAATGTTCAGATGCTTTCCATTTACTTTCTCCAACATTTTTCTATTGATTGTTATGGTTCTCTGATCTTCACTTTTTCTAAAATTATTATTTATTAACAAGTTTGATGCTCTTATTCCTTAGTAGCTGAATTTTCTCTTCACCTTCCATGATGTTCTGTATCAACAGGTTCTTGCATTCAGGGACATTTCTCCCCAAGCTCCCACACATATCTTGATCATCCCTAAAGTCAAGGATGGCTTAACCGGTCTCTCTACGGTATTTTTCTGACTTTGTTTCATTTTACATACCATGATGAACCAGATTCTGGGTGTTGAATTGTTGATCTTGTATAGGAGAAACATTTTTCTTTTTTTTTTTTTTTGGGTTGGGGGCGCAAAAAAGGCCAGCCATAAGAGATGGCAACTACATCCATCATGTCTTGGCATTGTCTCTTCATATAAGACTAGTCATGTAAGTTCTCAGTTAATGTCATGGTTTTATCTCCAACTAGATGGACTTCATCTAATTTTCGTTCTTTGTTTTGAAGTATCATGTACTGTTGCTAGAGGTTTGAATGGTAAGACAAGAGTTTCCTTTTAATCAATATTATTCATAGAAACGGATTGGGTCCACACCAGAAATTTCCATTTTCTCATTGTTGTGCTTCATGACCTTTTCAAAATTATAGAAAACCTATGACATAAATACAATTTTTTTTTTATATCTCTTGAAGGGCTACACAACGGGGGTAGCCCATCCCCCAACCCAGGTGCAGGTGGGATTCGATCCCAAGTCTCTGCTATGACCAGCAGGAGACCTTACCAATCAGCTGATTGGCACCTTGCTATGACACAAATACAATTGCATTAGCGTTAAATGTCCCATTTGCTTTGTAAAATGAAACATGGTGTGCCCAGTTCCACTACCTCCTTAAATTTCTACTCAATATTCTCTTGATGAACTACTCAATTAATTACCACATATAGGACATTTTAACTGGGGTATTGAGTGGAGTGGGTCGATTCAAGATCTGACCTATACTGTATGCATATTTGGTTGGCTTGTGCTGATAGAATGATTGATGTAATATAACTTTGCTCAACACTGAAGAGGAACCATATTCATCAAAAAAAAAAAAAGCACAGAAGAGGAACCACCCTGGAGATTTAGAGCTCTGGTTAGGGAAGCCAAATCATTGGGATGTAATAACCTGAACTGCTCATTCAGGTGGATTCCTAGATTGGCTGACTCTCTAGTTGACAGCTTAGCTAGGGCTGGAGTAATGGCACAATGTTGTATTTGGGGAATGCTGGGGCCTGGGGTACAATTGTAATCTAAACTCGTTTATTTTCTTGTCTTTGTATGGTCAGTTTATGCTGTTTCTTTGTACTTACCCTACTGTCGAGCCTGGACATGTATGGGGTCTCTTTTTGAGGTATATAATATAATCAGTTATTTATCAAAAAAAGGATCAAATATAAAACGGGTTTGATATGGATTTGTTTCCATGCATCTTATCTGGATCCATGAAGTAGTTTGGGTGTTTGACCCGTTTCTTAATACCTCTATAGAAGATAATATTTTATATATCATATTTACATATTTACTCATGCTAGTGTAAGGGCACATGCTAACCTTATATAATACAATATTCTGATTTGGTTTTTATGACCTTCACCAAAACCTAGGCCCGTATTCACATTGTTATCAAATGAGCAAAAGTGGGTAAGTTTATTTTAATCAAACACAAATAAAGGCTTCTCACACACACACAAAAAAAAGGCATTTGCCGAATAAAGGAGTCGAATCTGGTTTGGGATGAAATGGACCAGATATGGATCCATTTAGATCTGAATCCAGATTTGGTAAGGTGCTAACATCTAGAGTTTTCTAGATTGAACTTGGATTTTGCTGGATGTCACAACTCCTGTATGATCTCTATGACTTTTAAATTCTGTGTTTTTTTCTTTGAATTAAAAAACATGAAACATGGGGCTATTTGAATTCAGCTTCCTTATTATTAGGAAAATGTATCTAATTACTCCCATATATTGACACCAATTCATGCATTGTACAGGTCACTTTTAGTATGAACAAATAATGGTATGAGATAAAGAAAAAACCACTATCAGTAGAGAGAAACATTTAATTCTATTGATGCATTGTGAATATTCTGAAAATCATAATCGTAATAATCGTAAAGAGGTTTAATTGAATCATATTGTAAACTGTAAGATTTCTTTTTATTTTTCAAAAAATTGTCAAAAAACTATAAAAAATATCTAAATCTCTCAAAAAATTATGAAAATGGTTTTGCACAAATTTTCCAACTTAAAAGAGGACACATGGATAATATGAGAAGCACCTTGGCATGGCATATGAAAAGAACATGAGGTGTAGCCCCTGTTTTCAAGTAAAAAAAGCCTGAAAACATTATCGCTCTTGTTTAGTTTTGCATTATTAAAGGAAGTGATAAAATATTAGGCATAGTTTTCAAGGCGCCAAGGCGAGGCTAGGTGACAAGGGGGCGCCTAGTCACCTAGGCGGGGCGCCTAGGCATCACCTAGGCGATCAATTTTTTGTAAGTAAAACCATATATCCTAGGGTAGTTCCCTAGGTTCTATAATCATCTTTCCTTAATAATTATTCATAATTTTCATAAGAAAAGTATAAATTTCATGTTTAAGTCTAGAAAATCAACATTTTATGAGAAGAAAAAGAACAAAGTAAAGAAAATTCAAAAAATATAGGGGCTGAACCCCTACTTTTGTTATAGGCAAGAAGAAAAGAAAAGAAAAGGTGGAAGAAGAAGAAGAAAATGTGTTGATTAGACAGAATTTTAAATTCTTCCTTTGCTTATAGGTTCAGGTTTTGAAATTTTTGAGGGTTCAATCAAGGATCAAAATTTCGATACAATACGCCCCACATTGCGTGTATTGTATTGTATCTTTGGGGACCCAATACCTGTTTACAGGTGTTTTCGGGGACCAATTTTTTTAAATAATATATATATATATATATATATATATATTTAAAAATGAAATTGAAAACCAAAGAAATAAAAAAATAGGGGAAGTATCGTTATAAGTACCGATACACCTCTGCCAATACACAGGTGTATCGATACTATGAACCATGGGTTAGCAATGTTGCATTGATTAAACCCTAACAAAATAAGAAAATAATAAAAAAAAATAGTATATAAACACATAAAATGAATATTCTAGTTTAATAATGTCTATTTTATAATTATAATGTCAAAAAAATTAAAAAATATAAAAGTATTTTATAATCCAGTGCACAAAACTGCTAGGCGACTGGGCGAGGCGAGCCTCCAAGGGCGCCTTGTTGCCTAGGCGTCGCTTTGACAACTATGATATTAGGGCTGAGCCCCTGTTTTGTGTCAAAAAAAGATGGAAAAATGGGAGTTTTTTGCATGAGAAAAGGGAAACATAGAATAGGGCGGAGCCCCTGTTTTTCATGTAAATTAAGAGGGGAAAAAGGTATTTTCATGCGAAAAACAGAAGCCAAAAAATGGGGTGAAGCCCCTGTTTTTGTATCAAAAGAGGAGGGGAAGAAGAAGGAAGAGGGGGGAAGCCCTTGTTTTCATGTGAAAAACAGAAGCCAAAAAATGGGTGGAGTCCCTGTTTTTGTGTCAAAGGAGAAGATGAAATGTCGTAGAAATTGAAAAATAAAAATAAAAACCCTTACCATTTATGTAATGATGAAACTACCCCTTAATATAAATGTGAGGCTTTAAGAAGAGGAAGACAAAATGGTCTTTTTCCCTTAAATTATATTTCCATCTCTAATTGTTCAAATTGCTTATGAATCGTGATTTGCGGTTTAAAGTCTCGATTTGCTCATAAATTATACGATTAATATGAAAAACTATTAGTATTGTTTTAGGACCGATTTGATATGGATCATACGATTCAAATTGTGAATTGCATGATTTTAACAGCATTGCATTGTCGGTGTGATTTTTCAACTGACTTATTGTTTACCATCACACATATTTCCCTCAGGCAGAGGAGAGGCACTGTGAGATACTTGGGAAACTTCTGTACGCTGCCAAACTTGTAGCTAAGCAGGAAGGACTTGAAGATGGATTCAGGGTTGTCATTAACGATGGTCCCAAAGGATGTATGTATTCGCAGCCACTCTATTACACATTTCCTAGGAATCCAAGCAAATGTATTTTGCTTTTATTTTTTTTCTTTATCTATTCATTATTTTGGGGAGATGAGGTCTTTTTTTATTCTAATGAAATTGTTGGTTTTTGCAGGTCAATCTGTTTATCACCTTCACATTCATCTTATTGGGGGACGACAAATGAACTGGCCCCCTGGCTAATGTGAGTTTTAGCTAATCAAAATTAGATGGTGGATGATAAGATTTCCTATGGGTAAGAATGTTGCTTGTCTACCATCTATCCTGCAAGGTGACTGTATTTTCTCTTTCATCTTCCAAAGAACAATGTCTACCCTCTGCCTGTATTGGTATGGGTGTTACTAAGGTAGCATGCGGTTGCTCTTGTTTGGTTCTATTTTACTTGGAGCAAATGCAGAATGTTTCATAGGAAATAAACAGTCGGAACTCCTAATACTGTTGTCAGTGGATGTGTTAACTCGATGGCAATGCATTAAGTGAATAGATATGCTGCTGGAAAAGAAAAGGTTTAAAGTAGTAATTTGCTTGTAATTTTAGTAGGTATATATTTTGGCAGTAGTGGGCTTTATTTGGGGAGACTGTCGATACCTTGTTGCCATGAAAATCCTGATTTGAAGTTGCGAGGTTCAAGGTATTGTACAATTTGTATAAGCTTCTGAACCCACGGTTAAATACTAGGAGTTTCTGAGCCCTTCCTAGATGTGCCGTCTCAGTTTTGATACTTAAAAGATTTTTTAATCTAAGATTATCGCCCCTTTGAATCGTGCGATACACAATTTTTGCGCATAATGTGTTTCAGTACTTCGAATCTTGGTTGCGGTTGCAGTTGCAGTTGCAGGTGCATCAAATTTTCCAATGCGACTGTTTTAGGTCAAATATGACTTGTGTAATGGAAAACCTGATCTGAAAAGTATTAGGTATTTTAGTGTTGGGTGCTTGGGCAACAAAATTTTCAGTCTGACTTGTAGGCTTGGGGTCTGCTTTTTTCAATTCAATTAGTTAAGTTTAATGCTTCCAAATAGGGGTGTCAATTAAAATCCGATCCTGTTCAATGTGAGTCTACTGTAAATGAACCAGGTCTAATCCAATAATCTAATGAATATTATTGATCAATTTGGACTGATCCAATGCAATCTTTGGACCGTCCAATCTGCTCAAATTCGTTTTAATGTAGATTGGTTTCAACCCAAACCTGGTCCATTGACACCTATAGTCATCTTATATCAATGGACCAGATATTGATTTAATCCAGTACAAATTCATTGTGGATGGATCAGGTACAATCCAATAAATATTTTGAACCATTAAGTGTTTGGATTGATTCAATTCAATGTCTTGTTGGTCGGTCGCTTCATTCTAGAAACAAGCTGTTTATTTGCATGGTTCGCATTGCATGTATGTTGCTCTACATTGCTCATTTGTTGCCAAATTATATACCAAGAAACGATTATGCCCATTTCATTCTTGCTATTTAAGCAAGAATCGGTCCCAACCAATTATGTTCCCATCTCTTGGAAATAGGATTCAATCCTCAGCCAATAGCAATCGTGTATTGGGAATATTTTCATACTTGTATGCAAGGTTTTAAATATTGATACGCATGATACATTCGTAGGGGCGTATTGAACAGTATCGGTATTTTCTTTTACTTTTTTAATTTTGTTTTTAAACTGGTTCAGGGGGGCCGGTTTAAGGTTCCTCTACCCCCTGAACCAGTCAGAATCATGATACACTCTCTGTAGGGGCGTATCGGAGTGCCCCCGATACGATATGTATCGGCCGGTATACGTGTCGAGCATGTGCTACACGGAAAACGGTCTAGACTGTTTTGGACCCCGCTATGAATGACATCTCATAATGAGTGTGGGTAAAATAGTATTTACACTCCACTTTTTAGTTGAAAAGACAAATAAGGACCTGAATTAATTAAGATGTCAGGCACCAAAAACAGCGGACTGTTTTTTCCAAACAGCCAAAGTAATCTCATGCTGCACGCAGCTTGCTTGCCTAAAAAGTTTTCTAACCCAAGACGAACATTCTAATGAAAAATCATAAAAGATTCCAGTTTCATGGCTGAGAGTTGGTCAACTTTAAGCGTTATTTCTTTTGGTCATGGAATATGGTGACTGACCTCTCTGTTGAGAGACCAAATCTGCTCCTCACGCAGGGCGCCTCACACCTGCCTCACATGCACGTCCTACCATGCATTGGAAACATCTCCCGTACTTATAAATTATTATTCAAGGGAGATGCTCCCAATGCACGGTGGATGTGCATGTGAGGCGCCCATGTGTGAGGAGCAATCCCGTCTCCTCTGTTGAGGCTTCATCTAGAAAGTCCACTGATCCATGATCAATAATTATTTGATCAAAGCTTACTCCTGGACTCAGAAATCTCCTGGATGGAAATGGACTGGGCTGGGTCCCTAGACACTGGTTCCGTATATCTGAATATTTTCTTGGCGTTGAAGCAAAAGCTATAAGCAAAGAAATCAAAGAACATCTTCTTTTCCTGTGTTAAATTTATATATATATATATATAAAGGCAGTCTTTTTCATGTGTTAAATTTATTTATTATTATTTAAAATATCAATGCATTAAAAAAATTAAATATTTAGATTAACCCAAGAAAGTAAGGGACTAAGGGTGACCATTCTTGGCCAAGCCTAACCTACAAATTTCCTGGCCCAAGCCCAAGTTTTTGTATGTAGGCCTAGTCCATAATCTATATTTTATATTTAATTATTATATATAAAATATAAATTGATATATTACAAAATATTATATTATGTAGTATATAAAAAATTATATACACTTGATATTATATATAATATATCTATATTATATATTTTATATGTTATATATCTATTAGTAAGATGTCCTTTCCTTTCTCCTTTACCCCAATAGTAAATGTAACATTCAATATTATATCACTTACAATTTAATGTTGCCTAAGTTTCACATTACTTAGAAATAAAAATGAAGGCCTTGCCTTTATATATAAAAAATATATAAGCAAAATCTTGTATAAATTAAGAGTAAACTTTCATCCTAATTAGAAATGTGAGACTTAGGTGGTGTTTTATAATTCTAAAATCTAAAGTCTAAATCTGAAAAGTTGTAGAATATTTTTATGTTTTTCAAAAGTCTTTGAAAATCTATTGAGTGCTTGTGTTGGGGTGATCCTCTGATTTTTGATAATCAATAACTTTGCCAAATTTCCCCATTTTTATAATACCCAAAGAACCAAGCCCTTCTTATTACAATTTCAACCAAAAAAATGTATTAACAATAACACTCAATATAATAAGATTATATAGAATAGAAATATAGTAATAATTTAGAATTCTTGTTTTTTTGGTATTAATCACTCTTTTAAGTGAACAGTACAACATCACATCAACAACCTTAAGTAATAACACAATTCGTTTTTCTAATAGAGATGATAATAGCAGGATTCGAAATTGCAAAACCGTTGGGATAATTCATCTAGCGCACCAACCAGTTATTTAGAATTCTTGTTTAAGAAGGGGAAATTGAAAATTAATTGGATTTCAATATGAGAAAACCTGTAAAGCAATTATTGTCCAATTACTCTAAATTCCACAAAAATATAGACAAAAAAAAAAGATTCTTAAGCTTGCTATATTTTGTTTTATGTACTATAAGGCCATTTTTGGTTTTAGACATTCTACTGTCAAGCCCCTTCTTTTTAATTTTTTTTTTTTTTGTTTGCAAGAAGCTAGAATGAATAGGTTAGTTACTAGTTTGTTGGTTGCTGTTGTTAAACAACTTAAACACCTTATGAAATAGATAGCCACCAACTTGTTAACACTTATAATGTTCATCGAAGAAAAGGCGACACAGAGAAAGAAGTGGTCTTCAACTATTATTTGAGAGGAAAGTGATGTGTAGTGGAACCAAATAGGGAAAATGAAAAAAAAATAAAGAACATTATCTTAAAAGAAAATTCAATAATAAGTGTAATACTCATCTATTGAATATTATTTAAGAATCAAAATTAAGGTTTGCATTGATTAGGAATCAAAATAAATGCCTTATTTTCGTTTAGAAAATAATAAACAACACAAGCCTTATTTTTATTTAATTAAATATTTTCCCAAAAACTTTAAAAACATGATTATGCCTAAGAAATTAGAAAAGTGTAGTCCAAGAAAATAATTTAGGTGCTAATAAAGAAATCAAACAAAGAACATTATCGTTTTTGAAAATGACACCATTATATCATTGTTTTATTTATATGGAATTGTTTGGAATAATAAATTAATAGTAATTATAAATAAAACAATGGTGGTGTTTTGAATTTGAATTGCAAGGTTTAGATTTAATGCATACTTAAATTTATAATTACTATTAATTGTAATAGTAATTATATCAAGAACCAGAACCAACCCATCGTTTCTAGTTCTTGGAACCAGAATTGACCCACTGGTTCGGGTTCACTAGGTCCATCCAGTCCAACCCAACCCATTGACAACCTTAATCATTGGGTCGGGTTTGGTTTGATTAGCTTCTACCAGTTCTATCCTAATAAACTTGTATTTATTCATTTTGTTAAGTTAAATAAATTATTATTTATTTCATTTACTAAATTATTTATTTATTTATAAATAATTACTATTTAAGGTCATGCCACCATATAAAATAAAAACAATGAAAGCCATCTCTTTCTTCTCTCTCCCCTTATTTTTTTCCTTTGAATTCTCTCTCTCCCCCTCGAGCCTAATATTTAGGATTGTCAATGAGTCAAATCTGGTTTGGGATAGCTTGTACCAATCCTGTCCGAATAAATTTTATTAATTCATTTATTTATTTTATTAAATTAAACAAGTGACGACCTAAGGGCCCACCACCTATTATTAGGTTCAAAATTTATTGCAAAAGACAATGAGGAATATAGCACATCCCTGTTGTACTTCATCCCCAAAAGAATCAAAATGTCTACATAAACCGATTTTATCAATGGCCACACTCCACCTCGAGTAAGTTTTAAGAACTAAAAAAGAAACATCAGTTACATAAATGACCATTCCAAGTTAGTTCTGCGACTAAAAAAAGTGTTGGAGGGAGATTCAAATTTATAAGAATCTTTCTCATTTATTTCTTGTTTTTGTCATTTCCTCCCTTGAATGACTTCTTGTCCCACATTGCTTGGGAAAGGAATGGGAGTGAAGTATATTTGTAGTTGTGCTTTTCTATGGGTAGGGACCCATATGAGGAGAGGACTATAGATATTCCATGCATGTGAGGGGGGGTGTGGGTGCATGTATGTGCGATGCATTGAATCATTTTGTTTTTATCCGAATTACACATTTTCAATTTTAAAACGTGTCTCTACAAATTCAAATTTAATTTTTAAATAAATTATTTTTTTTTTGTGTCTCTTCTTCCTCCTTGTGCGTCTTCGAACATGTGCATTGTTCTGAAGAGGTTCCTGTCTGAAAGAACACATCTATGTCCATTCAGGTCTGAGAGCACTCTATAAGAAGAGTGTTGGCCGACCCAATCTATACAAACACACACCATTTTTCGATATTCATTTCTTTGAAAAATCTGAGTATCAATCTTCAGTGGTTCGCGGAGGTCTGGCAAGTGAGTGCACGCCAACCAGTGGCCTATGGGTTGTTTTATCTTGGCGACCGGTTTGCGATCACCCGGCTGTACCATAGGGGGCAAATA